TTACTGTATGAGTAGTCTATTAAATTAAGTAATCTACGTGTATTTGTTGATGAGTGCCTACCTTTTATCCTTTTACCAAACCAGTTTGGTCAGGATGAATTAAGAGGGGGGTTATTTTCTCTAGTCTCTTTGAGAGAGCTTTGCAGATTATTTTAAGGTCTACATTTATAAGGTCTACATTTATGGAGGTCCACAGGGTCTTATTGAACCCTGTGCATCTCCATAATTAACCTTAGTGTAAAGAGTACTCTTCATTTACATGAACTCATTTGAGTCTATTAGATTGATATTATTCAAACTCCAGTAGTGCTGTACCTATAATACCTACAGCAAGCAGCACTAACAGGACAAGAACAGTGATTAGTCCTCTGTCAGAGGCCATAAGAAGATCATTTATAACCTTCACTAAAGCTGTATTTGTGATGTGATTAACTCTGAAACCCGACTGAAATCATTCCTCTGCAGAGGACCCGCCTAAGACAGCTTTGTCAAGTGATGGCTTTGTAAATAACGGTTTAAATACTGCAAGCTTGAAGGCCTGTGGTACCTATCATTTAGCAAAGATAGGCTGATCATATTTTACTCACTGCCACGCCATCATCACACAGATCCAGCCATTCATATCTGCTGTTAAGACGTAAGAAGCTGTTGCAGTATTCTCCAAAAAAAAATAGGTGTCACCACTAAGACAATATAGAAGAATAGAATAGAATAGAATTCATCTTTATTCTTTATTGTCACTGCACACGCCACAAGTACAAGGGAACAAAATGCATGTCATACTCGCTGATACGAACAAGAAGAAGTCCCAACCGGAAGCTTTTTTTTTTTGCATCCTTTCTTTCCACAACAGTTGCAACATCTCACTCTGTGTGTCTGTATGTCCCTGAGTTTCAGTGATGGAGGTATAAACAGGCATGATCTGACACAAGTAAAAAAAAATCAAGAGGTGCATGACTGGGTAACACACAATAAAAACTGTGTCGCACAACACAGGATGTTACGTGATACATGAGACACCCATGACACAAGCCACGTGGCGAGCATAAAAACAGCCTTAGGTGGAACTCAACTGAAAAATTGTTGAGCCGAGTCGTACTGCCTTGAATTGCAACGAGTTAATCCAAGCAAATGCTATTTGTTGTTTTCTCAAAAACAAATTTAAAAACTTTCCAATGCAAAAAAACAGTCATAAATGCACACGTAAGGACAGAAAAAAGATACACAAATATATATTCGTATATATATATATATATATATGTAGAGAGAGAGAGAGAGAGAGAGAGAGAGACTTTTCATTATCATAGTGTACTTTTTCTAACACATAGTTTCGTTGGCAAATGTCTAATCTGGCTTTGCTGTTACGCGCCAAAATATTCTAATCTGTAAAACTGTGTCTATACTATGTTCACATTGCTCTATGCTACTCTGTTAAAGTACATTTATCCTCCATATTAATCACTTCCCCTGATTTTTCTCTCTTCAGCCACTTCTTCAAGGCTCCTTGGTAAAAACTCTTCCATCAGATTGTTTTCTCCACGTTAGGCGAAAAACAGCAGTCGTGTTATAACTCCTTAGCTTCTGGTT